ATTCAAGTGATTTTTATTGTATTCCGATTGGTCATACTGATCTTCGTCTTCTTCTTCAAACGCGTTTGCTCAGGGGCTGATGAAAATAAACAACGTGCACGACTACGACATCGCATAACCCGAAACTGAGCCCGCAATTCAGCATGGACTAGCTGTACTAGTAGGTACTGACCTAGTCAGATAGTGCTGAACCACAGCACCAGGTGATAAAACAAATAAAAATACAGTAAAAATGCATGCACGCGTATGCGTAACTTCTCACACTGGGTTTCTTGTGCAATCGGTTATCAGTGTGACCTTACCAAAGAGTTAAGAAAAGTTGAGCAAAATCTATTCACCTGTTTACTTTTTCACTACATAAAGGATTTTCCGACAATAAAAACAGACGCAGGTGTTTGTAGATAACCCGTAAGGACAAGATTCACCACGTGGGAAACACCAGCATTTGCACATTTTTCCCACCTTAAAGAACGACTTCATTAAAACCTTGTTATTGCCGCGACCAATGAAACTCGATCAGGGGCAAATAAACTGGAACGCAATTATTCGTAGGAATAGGATTTCCTCTAATTAGAAGATTGAAATACTGTCTCCCCAGTTTAGTTTACTTTAGCTGTTACAACCATTAACCATGCACTTGCGTGCGCCGGTTCTGGTTGCTGTCTTCTGGTTACCCATTTGGATAAAAGAGCGAAATGAAGATTGAAATGTCGAAGCGAATTCAACGGAAGATGGGGAAGTCATATAGTGGTGTTAGGAAAATAATGAGTGGATGCACGAGCGCCACTGTTTGCGACACCCAGCCATATCACTCAGTGTAGCTAACCATCGGTGACCATCATCCCGAGGTCCCCAGCCAGGGAGCCTAACGGGGCCTATGTGACCTAGTCTCCTGGTTAGGGTTCTCATACCCTCATGCCAGGTCTTAGCTTGACCGCCCTTCGCTTTTTCCAATCGATACCAGCCTTGGCAAACATCGTTCGCCGTGGCAACCTATCTGGTGACATGCGTAGCACACGTCCCAAACAACGTAATCTATGGACGTCGATCACTTGTTCCAGTGGACGACCGCGACTGCCTAAAACTCTACGTCTAACCTCAGCATTGCTAGTCCGGTTACCCCACCAGACACGTGCAATGCTACGTAGACAGTGGTGTTCGAACATCGACAATCTATACGTATCCTGTTCTCTTAGTGGCCAAGTCTCTGCATCGTAGAGCAGGACTGGTCGAACTGCTGCAGCAGAAATTCAACCCTTCACAGACAGCCGGATGTCGCGAAGGCGCCACAAATGTCTCAAGTTGGCAAATGCCAACTAAGACTTTTGTATCCGCGCCGACAATTCATTTGTGATGCGTCCGCCAGGTGAGATATAGCTGCCCAGATAGTAAAATTTATCTACTTCCTCTACTACTTACTCAGTTAGGGTGAGATTGGGTGCTGGATCAACCCAATCTTCTACTAGTATTTTACACTTTGAAGGTGCAGAACGCATACCGAACATGGACACACTAGCACTCAAACTAACCAGGAAGGCTTGCAGCTTACCTGAATCTTCACTTAGTAGCACAATGTCGTCTGCATACTCTAGATCAGACAGTCTGCTACCCGGAAGTAAATCGATACCGCTATCCTCGCACGAGGATAGGGCTGTTTCAAGAATTAAATCTATGACGAACTAAAATGGAAAAGGAGAGAGAGGGAACCCTGTCGAACACCACTTTCCGCGGTGAACTCAGGTGAGAAAGTGCCGTAAGCTCGAACTCGGCTTCGGCTATTATTGTAGAGGGATTGTAATATTGAAATAAACTTCTCGGGCACTCCCTTCAGGGAAAGGCAGCGCCAGAGTTTAGAGCGGTTGACTGAGTCGAAAGCCGCTTTTAGATCGAGGAAAATAAAAATGGTGGGTCTACGAAAGGAGTGTCTATGTTCTAGAATTTGACAAAGTGTGAAGATGTGGGCAATACAGCCTCGACCAGATCTGAAACCGGCCTGGTTCTCACGCGTACACCGTTCACGTGCGGCAGACAATCGACGGAGTATGATACCGGTGAGAAGTTTAGAGGCAATATTGAATAAACTAATTCCTCTGTGGTCTTCACAATAGGACCTGTCACCTTTCTTGTAAATCGGTATGAGTACCGATTCACACCATTCAGTTGGAACCTGTTCATTTTCCCACACTGAGCCCAGGAGTTTTGTTAACTCCNAAGGCTGAGCCTCCATTCTTAAAAACGGATGGGGACAGCCCGTCGGGGCCGGAATCCTTATGCCGTTTGAGGTGACTTATTTCCCGGGTAACCTCCATTTCAGCTGGACGACTGATGTCAACTGGCAGTATTTGCACAGTTGAATCGAATGGGGGAAAGTCTTGTGTCGAAGGGGACCAGCTAAACTGTGTCTTAAAATGTTCTTCCCAACGTTCAAGACGACGTTACTGAATTTGAATCAGTATTCTATTGTATCCTAATGCACAGAAAAAAAAACAGATGAAACGTCGATTGTGGTTTCCTGAGGAACAGTGAACTACGATTGACTTACATGAGTGATGAAACAGAGGGGTTCCAAATACCTATTGTTTCTTCTTGGACTTTTGTCTATGTGTATGCGTTTTACCCGACAAGACATCCCCGTTCATGACCACTTTTGAATCGATCCCGTTGGTGAGTGCGTGATTCGCTGCAGTTGAAGCTCGTTCTTTGCGCAACAAATCTTGTGCCCAATCGGGCATTGGTTCACGACTGTAGCGGATGCGTACTTCTTGCGAAACTTGGTCAATAATATCCAGAGCCTGAGGTACGGAGAACGAGAGAGAAGAAGAGGCTTCAACAAACGCTCAAAAATCAATCAATTCCAGCGGAATAAAGAAGTGTACTTTCAGATGAAATTCTCTGCATGGGGGAACATAAACGTTTTCCGCGTAACCAAAAGTTAATATGTACACTCTACCGCTGAACCATTGTACCATGATGATATGGGCAGACGAGTTGAATTACACAGACAGCAAGTGTTTGTTCAATTCAAAACTGCTATACAAAAGAGTGGACGCGTCTTAAAAAATCAAGGCTAGGGTCATAGCGTAAACTTTGAGATATATGCCATGTCTCATGTGTCTTTGTCCGGACAGTCGATTCATCTGTGCGAAAACACTATTAAACCTTCTCGAACTGAGGGGGATAATAGATCAAATTGTATGCTCACAAGTCTGATTTTGCAGTCAACCAACTTTTGAGGAGTGATGTCTAATATCGAAGCTTTATGTCGTTTACAACTCTGAACCTCAGGTGTTAGGATGTCAAATACTTTAATCACTGAATAGGTCTCCGAGACTTAGGAGATTTGCTGCCTCAGGAACTACATCTGCAGTACACTGCACTTGATAAAACATTTGCAAGTGGATGGCGGAGAATTGACCACGGTTTTCTTAGCCCTAGAACCCAGTGGCCGGAACTAAATCAGAAACATTCCGGACCTAGACGTGATGTCACAGATTCAATCCTCAATTTGATCGATGGATTTGTATTGCTGACAAAGCTTAACTAGGTTGAAGCGGTTTGACAATTCACGACTTCTCTGCTTCGTATACAGTGGAATTGAGTCAACATTGTAACTTGTGTACCCAGTGTAAAAACATAATTTGGGTAACCTATGGTGAAAACGTTTCTTTCCTTATGGATTTTTCCTGTATAACTGGTGGTGATAATTACAACGTATTACCTTAATTGTAAGACATTGAAAACAAGCTTCTTTGGCATTTTCTATGATAGATCTAAATTCAGCCTGTCAATTAGATTATCTCGGCTTCACATTCATCTCTCGGGCGTATTTACGAACATACAAGGTGAACTTCGCAGATAGTACACTTTTCGGTGGACTGAATATGGGGGTATGCCATTATACAATACTCTTCCACTTTATTTTTACACCACTCTGTTAGACACCATGATAAATAGGAAGCCACACAATTGCGAGCATAGCGCCAGTGTACAAACGAGCGAAAATCCTGGTCAACAACAAACCCTCCAAGATTATATGGGCAGTGTGGTATCTAAGTTTGCCACATGATTACTCCTCAGATTGAAAGCACTACCGTCCGACTGGGTTGATTCTATATAGAATCTCCTTTACGTGGCATGATAAACACTGTAGTAGTAAGATGAAGTTAACCACTTTGGTAGTTACACCTCCATTGGCGGACAATTCCAGATGAAGTGCGCATCGCATGCTATTTTCTAATCTGAAGCACCTCTGGTGTCGCTGCGGTACGCTTTTGTCACTGAAGAACCCACTGTAAGCTGCAGCCGTTATATCGGCTTAATTGCATTTGAGGGACAATTTGATTACGTGTAGACGGTAAAGTGCAGACTATCGTCGAGGTAACACTGCGTTCTACACGTGTGATTGCTTGATACGTGCATCAGTATATTGCTTTCTTTCTTAAAACAAAGTCAATAAATCATGTCCCTTAATGAAAAGTTTAAAACTATGACGGTATGTATACAAAGTGTAGACACAAATTTGTTCACATGATTGCGCAATAAAAGTACGTCAAATGTAGTAACAATCTGAGACTGCTAATCGATTAGTACGGATGCATACAACATATGCAATTGGAATCATTTATGAACAAGTCTGGACAAAAATAGCATCTTAGTGTTGATAAATCAGAGGGGTGCATTTTATCGATCGGTTCATGGGCTGTGAAATCAATTGAATGAAACACATTGTATGCGTAAAATCACAGACGCCGGATAGGTGTTCCCCGTTTGGTTACTTACGCGATCAAGCATCTCACGGGTGTGTGCGGAAGAGATGCAGAATCGAACACGGGAGAGTAACAAACTGGTGGCTGGAAAACCCACAATCACTGTGCCCAAACCTTTACCGAGGCATTTGCGGGAGAAGGCCACCAGTTTAGCCGGCATAGAGATGATCACTGGAACGACTGGACTGTCACGATTCCCGTACACGATAAGTTGCATCTCATGAAGACGTGCACGAAAGTAGCGTGTGTTCTCCGCCAGTTGTTTAATACTAGGAAAAGAAACGAACCACCAGTTGAGCTATTAAAAAAACGAGTTAAAAAGATTCCAAGGGACTAGAACGGGATTGTGAGAAGAAATCAATGCCAGGAACGCGCAACAGTAATTTCGATCACACCGAATGACCAAACCGTTATGAATCCAAGTGACGTAATGACAGGTAACAATGCGAAATGATTTACCGGTGAGCACCTTCGCCAGGGACCTCTCGACCCATTATGATGCGCATGGCTGTGATCACTTGTTGTGTGACCGGTGCGGGCATGCTACCCCCGTAAACCGCGCTGTGTGAACACGAACGCAAATAATCGATCAAACGACGAGATCCCGCCAGATAACCACCAGACGAGCCAAAGCTCTTGGTGAATGTGCCCATGCAAACATCGATTTCTTTCGGGTCGATACCGAAATAGTCCGCCACACCGCGACCTCGTGGACCTAGTGCACCAATGCTGTGTGCCTCATCCAAATAAATATAGGCTTTGTATTTTTTCTTCAACGCAATAACCTCC